ACTGCATATTATTATATTGGAAGTGGATATTGGTCCGGCAGCCGGACGCCTACTGCGGGGCTATAGATCCGGCAGTCCGTTGTTCTCCGTAAAACAGTTTGTGCGCATGCGCAATAGTGCAAAATGGAACTTAGTCTTTTTTATCAAGAAACCCTAATCCCAAAACCCTACAATCCCGGAGGCTAAGATGTACGAGAGGGTGCTCTAAAAACTAAACACTAAACCCCAATCCCAACCCTACGACCCCGGAGGCTAAGATGTACGAGAGGGTGCTCTAAAAACTAAACACTAAACCCCAATCCCAACCCTACGACCCCGGAGGCTAAGATGTACGAGAGAGTGTTTATTTAAAAAAAAGTAAAAAGTGAAAAAAAAAAAAAGAAAAAAAAATCAAACATTTCAGCATAGTTTTAGTCAATAGTCCCGACAGGATTCGAACCGCTGACCCCATCCGTGCAATCCAGACGGATGGGTATAAAGTTCGGACCGGACCGGACCGCCGGACCAAATATACGGAGTAAATTTACTGCCGGACTGAAGAATACGGGTCCGAGTTTTATGCATACGCTCTGGAGGCTTTTGGTGCATATAATTCGGACCGGACCATTAGCGAAAGAAGTAAGTTTCATCTATTATTTTTTGTTCTGTAGATTTTAAAGTTCAGATCACCTACATATAAATGTATTAGCTTTTAAATTTCAGATCAACTACAGATAAAATAGCAAGACATGATGAAAGTCAACCATTTGAATGCTAGCCTGACAACTGATAGCTCAAGCTCTGACGAAAATGATGCAACATTGCTGTAGCAAATATGGCTGTAATCTTTATTATTGTAAATGTGATTAAACTGTTTTTAATAAAGAATTATATATATAAATGAATGTTGATAATTAGCTATTTAATTAATTTTTTTAAGAATTAAATTTTAAAGTGAGCTGTTGATGTCATCATTATCATTTCCTTTGTAATACAAAGACTGTGCATCGCTATAAGAAAGTTTCAGTTGTTTGGATAAAGTCCTAATAAAGAGCTGAACAAGAACCTGAGATATATGTCATGAATAGACAACCATACTTCAGGATAAAATATGTCAAAAGTGACACTAAAGCCTCCTTTCAATACTGGCATCACCTCTTCCAATTTATTTTGTACCATACTCACCAGTTTGTGATGCTGCATAAAGGATTATAGACAAAACACAGTTATGTGGTAAGACTAACCTGTTCATGTGTAAAAGATGATTCTAAATTACCACCTGCTGTTTGTTTACTGTTTAGGCGAGAGTTTTTATTGATACAATAGTCGGTTGCTTTTTTAAGCATAGCTGATGGAATGCTTTTGAAGAATTCAGTAACCTGCATGACAATTTAAGATATTATTATATGTCTAATAGACATTATAAAGGGTAAAGCTTACTTCCAATTCAAATATATCCAAAAAGGCTTGGTAATTAAGGTTAACAATTGCAGAGTCCTTTGTATTAACCTTAATATATCCCTAAAAATAGATAATTAATTTGAGTAAATTGTTTCCAATTTTATACCGCTGCTAATAGCTCTTCATTAAATAGCTTTAGTTGTGAGTCTAAAACTTCTGTGAAACAAAACTTAGGCCTAGAATGAAAGAACAAAACTTTGTATTACTACTGAATTGACCAATAAAAGCCATTTTACATTAAACTTTTGCGAAACACATCCACTATCCAACTTCTTAACTCTATACTGGAAGTCTAAGTTTAAGGAAGCATATTACCATTACTAATAATGTAAAAATATTTTTACTTCAAAGGTGTATGGTTTTAAAGACTCTGATACTAACTCATTAGCAAACTAATAGAAAGGCAATCACAAGTGGCAGATGCATACACAAATAAAAATAATTACCCGACAGACAAATGCACCACAGTCACTATTATTTTCTTGTTTTGGTACGTCCTGTAATTATATCATTTATTGTAATGGAACAATAATTGTCATTGAATTCTAACCTCCACAACTACACAGTATGCATTGTGCTCAACAATTTTAAGCTCAGCAAATTTATCAATGAGTCTTCTGCAAAATAATGGATTAAAAAGGAAAAGAAATTGGGTTTATAGTACCTTAATGGTTTTTCTACTACATTTTCATAGCCTCCAATGGAATCCATTAATGCCATCATGCATCGCTTGGGCCAATAAACTGCTAGAATCCAGTGACTTTGCATGCAGCATGGAATAAGGATGGCTTGCTTGTCAGATATTTTTTCCTTAATTACAATGAACGGCTAATACACATAGCTACTAATTGTACCTTAACATATGTATTTATATTTTTTAGATCGTTGGCAGCAGCTTTGACAAAAACGGTAGAACTGAGTGCATAGTAATCAGATTTTTTCTATACAAAATAAAATTGAAATATTTAGGTTTCAAATTGACATGCAGATTCATACCTTGTTTAGGACGATAACGAAATTAATAAAGTAGTTGATAAACTGAATGATGTTTTTTAATACATAATATTTCCAAAAATTTATTCTTACAGAATCAGTAAGCCATTGTCCAACGCTATACACCTTTCTAACATCATCCAATGACAAAATACTGAACTTATTTCTTGCAAGGTATTCTAAAAGGATAAAAAAATTATGAAATTTTAATTGATATTATTACCTGAAGATGTGTCTGCTATGTTAGGTTCTTTAAGAATGTATAATAATTATTTTGAAGTAGTTTCCAATACCTTCAACAAGATCTATTGTACAAGCTTCATTATTAATCATGTCTTTATTGAAACTGATGATGTTGTATTGTAGAGATAACAATTCCTTTTCGGCAATAGCTTGAATTGCTTTGTTAACATCAGATGAATTGCTGCAAAGATCATGCATAATCAATACATGTAAACACCTTAGAGCTTACTTTATGCTATGCAAAATGAATGACGAAAGCCACTGTCTCAAATTTTTTACACCAAACTAATACAATATTTAATGGAAGTTAAAATGGTAAAAAAATTTTACTTCAATTACTACTTTATGACGCTTATACTTTGCAATACTGTATGCAAACTACATGTCAATAGAATACATTATAAATTTGCTATGTGGACTGTACTTACTGAACACATGAATACACCACAGTCATTATTGTTTGCCTGCTTAGGCACTAACTGAAAAAGTTGTACTATAAATGAGGCAACAAAAGACTTAAATACAAACCTCATTCACAAATCTGTAGTTTTGAAATTGAAAAATTTCTCTGTCTGCTGCCATTACATTACTCATATAGTCTCCTAACAGCCTAAATTAATCATCAAAATATTTAAAGCTACATTAACCAAATATACTTCATTGGCTCTTTAACATAACTTATGTATCCTCCTATGGAATCATATACTGAAATAACTTTGTCATGAGTCCATGCAACCTAAATTCAGAGTCACTGTATGATAACACTCCAAATATGATTTCTTCAAATACCACAAGAATCCAATGATTGTCTGCAACACAGCATGGTAATACAATTCCTGTAATACTTGATAATTGGTAGTCCTAACAAAATTCATATGATGCAAGTGTATAAGACAATTGCACTTTTCATACCATAAAATAACACTCCAGGAGAGAGTCAACTATGCCACACTTCAACTTGGAAAACACAGCTGTTGGTAAACAACAAAAGGATGGATTCTAATATTATTATGATGGATTTAAACAAAATACATTAATAATAAAACCTTGGAAAAATGTTTGTTGAATAAATAATCAAAAGTATGATCAATAATCTAAAATTTGAAAACAAAGTAAAATCTAAATTGCTGAATGCAGAGATTACTGTATCTGTTAGCCATTCTCCATTGTACACAGATTGAAAATCACACAATTTCACAACAGCTGTATTGGATGTAACCAAATATGTAGATTCTGTAATGACAAAATGTTGGTTGTTAAAAAATATGTGCCAAATAGTATACCATTGAGTATAATGTCTGTTTTTGGCTTTTTTGCTTTTGTTTCATTAACTTTCTGCTCTATAATGCAATCAAATTCACTTGAAACCTGTAACATATTCACCTTGAGAAGTAGAAGCCATGTTATGGCATTTCTTATTTATGCAACTTTGTCTAAGTACACCATTTCCTCCAAATTTCGGCTTGTCCAAGCAATATTTGCATGTACCACATTCAACAGCAACATAATTTTCACAGGTACCACATCGTTTCCGTTTCCTTCCTGTCAATAAAGATATGCAAAAATTCATCGCAACTGTTATATAGCTGTAGTACCTAAACTTGGCAAAACCTTCAATGACTGGTTAGTACTAACGTAGCGCTGACTTAGATTTTTATCATGTGATTCATGTCCTGTCTGCAAAGTCATAGAAGTAAGCTACATGCATCAATACACATGCATATCAATATACTTTACCTTATTATCATTATTGATTCCTTTACCGGTAGCACTAATTTCATTCTACAAAAAAGGATCATAACATATTTTTATTAAGATTTTAAATGCAATATTACCTCCTTTACAGCAGATTTTAAATTATCTTTGAAATGTTTAGCAGCCTGGGAATCTTCCTGATCTACGACAGATTTGCATCCTGAATCCTATACATTAATTTCAGATAATAGTAACATTGTATTGCATGTATGGTTATACATAGGTCATACTTTCAAACTTTCTTCTGAATCTGGGGCACAAATAACTTCATAATCTCCTTTCCTAGGGGCTTTTCTACCACTTTTTTTCTGAGGCCATGACCGAGTGTTCCTTCTTAATTGAGATAAATTAACTTTTTGTTGTGAACAGGAAACATCTAGTCCAATACTTATCCTAGCACCAATGATGTGATAGCAGATGGTTGTCGAAGGGCAAGTGCAAGTCTCATTGGGGAATAAACAGACTGTATACGGATTTCCTCCTGTTCCAATGACAGTAAAAATACCCATTTCTGCATTATGGCTGATTAGCTTTTTCTCTATTAATAACCTAACAGCACAATCACAATGTGACAAAATTGCCTTAAAAGTAAAAAAATTTACAGTAGTGGTTATATAAATTTGTTTTAATCCCAATCAATGAATTCTTATTGCTTTTAAGACTGAACCAAATAAGCAAATTAATGTGCAAAGATAGGCCATGTGGATATATGTGGATGGTACATACACTGACCTTGCCCTGGCTAATTGTGAACTAACTGTAGTATCGAGATTGTCTGTTGGTACTGCACTTGTACATGCATAAACTTTTGGAGGCTGAATGTCATGTTCACTCAAAATGGCACCACTTTCCCCTGTATCTTCAGCTCTACATTTATGAGTAAAAAGCTTCTCTGTTAGATCCTTTGGTGACACACAGTGAATTAAAAGAAGCTCATCTCTACTTCTCAAAAGGTGTTGAAAATGTGTCAATAAACAATAATTCCCAGTGCCTAAATGGGTATAACAAAAGACATCAGCCAAGTTATGAAAATTCTCAAAAAACTATCAAAAATTTGACTGAATTATGTACCTGTGAAAGCTCTTTCAATTTCATTATTATAATATGCTTGAAGATTGTAGAGAGTTAAAATAATGCTGTCTATGGGAACTTCTCTCCATCTCTGAATCCTCTTCAAAGTAGCATTAAAGCTTTCTGCTTGGTTATTTGTTACACCAGAAAAGGGGTTATATAGTCTATATGCTTGCAGCACAAATCTCCCAAGTGTCTTAGGGACCTATAATAGTTATGATTATAGTGCAGTGCAATTATTTATGATGCATAGCTTACTTCAGGGTGAATCTCCTTCATATAATGTTCAACAAATGCCTTACTCCACTTACAGCGCAGTTCCTCCAACTTACTCTCATATGATTGAATATCATTTTCATTCAGTAGTTCACGAATATGGCTAACGTATACTGGTATCTCTTTAGGTGAAGCATCATGCTTGCGTAGCCATGCTTTAACGGCATTTATGAGATGGTTCCAGCATCTTAGTACAACAACATTAGTCAAATGTTTTTCAATAGCCTAGTATATAGTGTAAATAAAATTATATTAAATAGCATTATGCTGGTTAAACCATTTACATACCTTCTGTAATCCAACTTCATCATCCAAAACAATAGGAACCCTTTCATTTCCATTTATTAAAAGAGGACATTTAGTTGTCAAATACATCATCAGTTCCTCGTGCGTCGATTGAAGCTTTCTCTCATGAATTAGGAAAGCAGCAGGAATGCATGGAGAACTTTTGAATACAGTATATCGAAATAGAAGTGTTGAAACATAAAAGTCTCCCAACTGAAATGTTGTGTCATATGACAGAAGCTGTGGATTACTGGACTTCATCTGCAAAACATTATTCATTTCTCTTGCTATTGTATCTAAACCACAAACAACTACTAAATCGGGAAAAGTTTTGACAACTTTCACAAAGCCATTGAGATCGTAGGCCAGTTCATGCAGGTTATACAGTGCATCGTGGCTCAATCGATATTTCTGTCTTTCTTTACATTGGAGATTAGTGATCTGGCGAGAATTACGAGGTGCCATTTCTGGCTTTTTACATGTAGATACAGCTTCCTTATAAGTATTACTAGGAAGATCAGTAGACGTGGAAAGCTTACGCAGTACAGAAGGAGGTGTTCTATAAAATAAATTAGTGGTACTCTTGGCATTTCCATGTGGATATTGTACAGCAATTTTTTCGTTTCCAATATAGTGTATGAGAACTAGGTGACTCTTGTCATCATCAAGGGAAAAATAGGCCTGTTTCTTAAAACGAAGGTCTCGTCCAGAAGGTAATACCACGGAGTAGTGTATCTTTTTATAGGCTGGATTACTGTTTGGAATCAACTTGGTTCCATTTTGATACCAACGGTATCCATCTACTTTCCAAGAATGAAATTAATATTATATTAAGTGACATTTTTGTAAAAATTAGCTTCATGGATGATGAAATTATTTCAGGGCTATCCCGGGCCAAGTGTTAAAATTATTACACAAACAATGTGAAAAAATTAATACATTATGCTTCAGTTTTTTGATCTTGTAGCTACCTTTAGATCCACAGATGCCTTCCTTCACTAAAGCCTGCCGCACATACAAATATACTTCTCCTCCTTTGGGACTTTCTGGAGGAAAAGAAGGAGAAAGTGTAGAGCTGGCATCGTTAAAAAATTGCAAAACAGCCT